TCATAGTGAAATAAGGCGTTGTGGTTTAAAGGTGTCTAAAGTGTTACTGTGGTGAGAGCAGGCTGCTAGCCAATTGGTAGACATTAATTTACGTCAACGCTTAGGTCATTAATATTGGCCGTGAGAAAATATGAACAAGGCTGATTCAAAAACCAATCAGAGCACACTTAACGTGGGCAAATAAAATTCGCAGATATATGGCTTGAATTTCCGAGAAACCAGAAACAACCAATCAGAAGACTGTGTTTTTCTGCTTGAATAAGCTATAATAATGTACATGAAGTGTATATATATACGTGCTGATTTCCGAAATAAAACGATCTGTTGCCGGCCATTGTCTTCTGTTGTTACATTATATATATACATATATATATATATATATATATATATATATATATATATATTGCTAAACAGAAGTTTTTTGAAAAAAATGATTAATTAGCAGTTGTGTGTTTGGTGTGGTAACTATGGAATATTAGTAATAGTTACGTAATGAGACATGAGAATATCAAATTTTGGTGCCCATATGGTCAAACGAGTTGTTAGTTATGATAGAGAAGATTTGTAGCTCAGGTGGATGATTTTGATGTGGTTTTGTTCTCTGAGCTGGATGGTTAATTTGCGAAGTTTTCGTCACCCTACTGGGTGACATCTTCAGCGTATACCTCAATTTGAATTGAAGTGAGCTTTCAGATTTCTCCACGAGTTTATTAATCATCTCTCCTGATGGTGACCTTGGACGTGATTGGTTGTTTATGTGTGTTTTCACATCTTCTAGGTTACTTCGCAAATTAACTATCCAGCTCAGAGAACAAAACCACATCAAAAAAAGAAGTTATTAGTGTACTACAGTGAGCAGAACTCAGATGATCAAAAAAATTTCTCTTAAGAAAGTCAACCAAAAAATAAAGGCGGAGGCAGTGAAACGATAAGTTAACAAAATTAGAAAACAAAGAGTTACTAAGATATGAGTCACCAGGTTAATTGAAGTTCAACAACGGATTCTTTTTGGACACGTAAGTCAGGCTTCAATGGTTCTATTGCTATAACTTCACTAAACCTGAGAAGACTTAAGGTTCTATGTTTGTTAACTATTTTGAATGATTCCAGAACATCTACTCGGTGTCCTGTGTCAATCAGGTGTTTGGCGGCGATTGAAGAGCTTAAACAATTCGGTCCCTTTAACCGGAGGCTCGCTCCTTGCTACATGTTCACAGAATCTGACGTAGGCCCTCCTCTCTGTTCTTCCAATGTAACTGCTGTCTCAGATACATGTGAATTGGTATACACAGTTGGAGGTAACATGTGAGGGTTACTTGTCAATCTTTGACTGCACCATAGAGGAGGTTGTTCGGGATAGAGAGACTAATAACGCTGCAGGATACGTCCTATACAGGGCTGCGCTTAATCTTTTATTAACCATTCTCATAATGTCGTCACCCCTGTAGTCGAATTTGATGAAAATAGGCTTCTTACTGACTGTAGCTATATCAAGCTTCTTGAGTTCATTCTTGCCATATTTGTTAATGAAACTCTGCTTGTAACCATTTTCTTCCAAGCATTTTTCAAGAAGCATTAGTTCATTTGGTGAACATATTCTCTTCGCTCTACAGAAAATCGTTTTTTCACCAGTGTTCGTTTGTATCTCACTTGGCAGAAGCTGTTGAAATTCAAGTAAGCCATTTTTATTCGACATAATCATCTCTTATGCAACAGCTACCGGCTGTTATTTATTTGCTTCAATCTTTAATTTTCCTGTGGACTGGGTAGGCTGAAATGTTCGGCCGCAGTTGGTAGAACAGGTGGCTCTCGTAGCCCAAATGATCTACTCGATAACTCCTCTAAGTCTGAACCAATGGGTACCTCGTAAAAAGTAAACTGCTTATAAATCTACTGGTGGCATGGCCCCAAGAAAGCAGCTGGCCACTATGGCTTCCCACATAGGGCATAGAAGCTATTGGTGACGTTAAGAAACTGAGAAGATTCTTCTTCAAAAGCGTGCAGACATCTTGTGTCATCCTCTTACTCAAATCTTTAACGCGTCATTTGACAGGGAAACGGTACCTGCTGACTGGAAAGAAATCAAGGTTGTACCTGTACAGAAATCATCTTCTGGAGCAGGTATAAAGTTTAGACCGGTCGCTATAACATCTCCTTTTTTTGAAAACTATGGAGAAACTTCTTTTGAATATTCTTAAACCTTCTTTAAAAGCTTTTAGTGACCCTAAGCAGTTTGCTTATAAGTGTGGAAGAAGTACATTAGATGCAGCCATTGTACTACACCACAATATTGTTTCCTGCCTTGATAAAGGTGCTAGGTTCGTTCGAACAGCTTTCTTAGACTATACTGCAGCTTTCGACTCTGTTCCTAGGACACTTTTATTAGGAAAGATGATTTCAGCACAAACAGAGTCCTGGGAAACTAGATGGCTGTCTTCTTATTTTAAGGATAGGAAACAGCATACTGTTTTGGCTGGAAAGCGCTCCACTTCTCAGCTAACTGAAAGTGGTGTGCCTCAAGGTGCAGTACTTTCTCCATTTCTTTTCTCTTTCTTTTTGCATGACCTTCCGAACTCACCCAAAGTTAACTTCATTAAGTATGCTGATGATCTGACCGTTTCTGTCCCTGTAGTTTCCACATCGGATTGTCCCCACATGAATGGCTTCTTAGCTGAAGTTAAGGATTGGTCTCGCTCAAATGGTCTTAAACTAAATCCAATTAAATGTAACACTGTTGATTTCAGCTTGAGAAGTGAAAAAGACATACATGGATTGATCCAATCTCATGATTGTTGTAATACTGATGGTACCATGATAGAGAGTAAGTCAAGTGTTTCTTATCTTGGCATTAGTTTCTCTTCAAACCTTTGCTGGTGGTCTCATATTCTTATAGTTTCTAAGAAAGTTTTCCATCTGACTTATTAAATAAAAAAGCTGAGGCACTCAGGTATAACCCAATCTCTTCTCATACAATTTATTAATTCATGTGTTTTGCCCATCATTCTTTATTGTTCTCCATTATTCTTCCCTAGGCTACTCAAGAAAGACCATATAATACTACGAAGAACATTGAGGGCTGTAAGTAGGGTCAGTGCTTTCCCTTTGATTAAACTAAATGACACTGTTGTCAATAGGCATATGAATTTTTGTAAACACTTAGCTAAAGTTATCTTATCTGATAGTGAACATCCTCTTTATTCACAATTGTTTCCTTGTATCTCTTCGGGTAAGACCAGAAGAAATTTCATAAACATTTATGCTCGTACTACAAAATATAAAAATTCGACCGTACCATATTTGGCACGAGTATTGTGTGAAGAGACAAATATCAGAAACGAACTTTTACAACTTTTAAATCATTAACTAAACTATAAAATGTAATGATGCATATTAATGCATGTGTTATTTGTTATATTATCTATTTATTATTCACTATGACCTAGCAATGGTGTGATTTTGTTGGGGATTTTATTTTTTCCTATTAACTATCAATATTTTAACATCTTGTATATTTATATAATTATAAACAGAGCTAAACCATTGCAATATGTAAAAGAAACGCTGAAAATTCCATGCTGTAAATTGTTATTGTTGTGGAATAAAGTGATTATATTATTATTATTATTATTAAGATACAGGGCAGGAACTGCTGCTCTCTCTCTCTCTGTGAAATCCATCTTTACCAGAAGGGCATTGAACTTCTGGTCTACAAACTGCCCTTTTCAACATATCATGAGTGAGATCACCCAATGACTTCAAGACTGATCTGCGATTCCAAGACTTAGAGGGAACCGCTCTCCATGAAGCTGGTGAAACCTTACCTTAATTTGTGTTCTCGAACTTGTGTTGCATCGATGCCAAACGCGCGAACATCACGCCCAGAGACATCTAACGGGGGGAACATCATAATCACTCACCAGTTAGCATGCAGGCACATTTGAATGACGAGTCCCAAATAGGACGAAATGCAAAGCCTAGATTCCACCGCTATTTGCCACCACACTAAATTATAACAGAATACTGAAAGTGAATCATTAAAATTCAAAATCTGACCATTCTATCCCCTTTTTCTTTCAGTGTCGTTTGTGTTGACAGAAATATAGTTAATTTCTCCTTTTATTTTTTTTGTTGTTGAGAAACTATTGATTTAAATAGTGAAAGTGTTGACAATTCACGCCTCGTTTGTTTTTCCATGTACAGATATTTTGTGATTTTGCTCCTGTCATTTTTACACGGGAGGTTTTGAGTGACTCATATCAAAAAAATTGTGAAGTAGTGTGTGTATACCTTCTGTCTATTACATCTTAAATAAAAATGCTGATATATATAAATTCTTTTTTTTTTTTAACTTTTTTGTAAGGGATATTTCAACCTCATCTTTCCCTTAGTTCAAGGTTAGTCCTACACCTACACACATTTGTAGTGTAGTCAATCAGACACTCGGTCTAACACACTGACACAGTACACCCACGCGATTTGGTGGACCTATTGATGGAAGTGGTGGGCATTTTTGATTGCACCAAAATATTGACTAATGCTTGCCTGTATACTGAATGGGATTAATAATAGACATACAAACACACGTGTATAGACAGACATACACTCAATCATACAGCATACTTCATCAACCAGTCTGATACAAGTTAGTGTTTATTCGATGCGTGGGTGTATATTGTACCCTGTTGACTGTTGTGTCTGTCATTCCATCCATTCACGTAGAATTTTTAAAACCAAAACAAACATAAAATCACATTGAAATACTACTGTCGATCGACTATTAGTAGTAGTATTAGCAGCGACAGAAGTGCTTCCCATTGTTATTTTCAATATACCTCTCAAAAGTTCAATGTTTCAATGGATTATTTAAACAACACAGTAATAAAATTCATCAAATAACTGGTTAATAATATTAATAACATTCAGTTGACATTATTTTTAAAAATTGTAATCATTACAAAATTTTAAATCATAATCAAAACATAAATAAATAAATAAAAATCATGGGTGCAATTCATTCTAGTAAAGGGATTAGTAAAGCAGAATTGAAAAAACTTTCAGCTAAAACGCATTTCACTGAAGCACAAATTAAAAAATGGTATAAAGGCTTCATTGTAAGTTGTTTCTTTATTTCCTGTTGTGTTTTATTGTTTTTGTTTTATTTTAGTTGCGTATCAAGAATAATTATAACATGTTGGATAGATGTCGTTTTTTATTTTCCATTGAGAGTTACAAATACACCATGACCTTGGAATATTTAGTCAGAGTAGAGTAGTGAAACGATCTGGAATGAAGAGTTAGGATATTGAACCGGACACCTCTAAGATTAGTGTAGGATTGATTAGGTCGTGTTCGTGTGGCTTAGTGATAGGATACTCACCAGTCAAACAAATGGTTCGGGTTCGACTCGCCATCGACACACTCTTAAACACCACCTGAACAATCGTAAGCCTGGTAAAGAGGGAAGCTCTGGCGTGTAAAACTAACAATCTCACAACTACTTCAAAATCCTCAAAGTTCATGCTTGAAGCCTTTCGGGACGCAAAGTAGTGAGGATAAAAGGGACTAAGTCAGGGTTACTTAGCAGTAGATTTAAGTTAGGTTAAGAGACCTATTTAACATAACCTAACTACCTAAAGTGGCTAAAATAAAGAATAAAGACGCAACAGGAACGAACGCACCAACTAACTATGTTTGAATTCAAGATCCGAATACTAACATCACTGTGCTACTTTCACATGTTTTCTTTGAGTACACTATCTGATTTCATTAACTTGCTGAGCGTGTACCTTTCAATGTTATCAGTACTATCGCTATTTCATACATTTATTCCCCTTAACGAATTTGAACAAAGCAAGAACTACAGTTTTTACAGAATAAAGTGGTACCATCATTTTTTATTTCGTTGTCTTCTCGTCATCTGCTTACAGGGCAAAGACATTATTAAATGTATCTACAAAAACAAGTTTAACATACTTGCATAGAGTTCATTTTAAACACAGATCAATCGATCAATATTTGCACACAGTAATAATACATATACATGTATATATATGTAATATTAAACACTAACCCGAACAACGATAATAATCATACGCAATGGAGACTTTTCAGCATTTTGCATTCAGGGCAAAGAAAGACTGATAACCGCTTCTTTCTAAATGCATAAATCAGATTTCAGGCGCTTGATGGTAGTGGCATCAGAGAACTTGAGGAGAATTTAGCTCTTAGCCTATTAATAATTTTGAACGACTTTTCGACGCCCTCCACATGACCCATGTCAAGGAGATGCCTGGCGATGGCATTGCTCAAACAAAGCATTTATTCCCTTTAGACATAAGTTTTTTGGTATATGTCCAGAAAATCGTAGATATGCCCTTCTTCTTTCTGTCCTTCCAATGTAACTGCCCCCACAGATACATGTAAATTTGTATACAGTTGGAGTTAACATGAGAAGGATATCTATCGATTTTTGATTGTAGCCAAGAACAAGTTGTTCGATAGACGGGGAGGAGCTAAACTGCAGGATAGACTCTGGCTAGTGATGTACTCAACCTTCTGTTGATCATTGCTGCAATGTTTTCACCTTTATAATCAAGCTGAATGTAGATTGGCTTTTTACTCACTGTGATTTGTTTTACATTTGTGACTTCAGGTCTTCCATACTTGTTGATGAACCTTTGAGGGTACCTAATGCTCTTCGCTATTCTTTAATATGGCTGGCTCCTCAGCATTCTCTATTCATCGAAATGCATCCTGTTTACTGCATTTCATATTATGTTGTGGTCATCCAGTTGATGCTTACAAAAAAATCACTATCTACACTCACTCATATAGGTTTCAAATAGATTACAACCTACTTATATGCATTTTCTGAAAGAAAAGTAAGAAGGCCATTGTGGAGTCGTAGTGTATCGCTAGGCCAACTCGTGCAGGAAATTGAAGAATATCATCTTGTCAGACTGTGAACACCCTCTTTACAGACAACTTCTGCTTTGCGCATCATGAGGCGTGACTGGAATTAATTTTAAAAGACTATGCCCAAACGACCTTATATAAAAACTCAACGATACTTTATTCGACATGTATTTTATGTAATTGTTCTCTAAGCGATGCTGGCTCATGATGAAATCCTGTAGCCAATCAACAAAATTCCTACAAATCAATACTTAAATGTCATTGAGATACTCACCAGCCACTGGCCTTATTCAGGTAGGTAGTTACCTGGGTGTTCTAGTGGTAAGTTGTAACCAGTGGCGTGCAACAGGTCGGGCGTGAGGACCAATACTCGCCGAAGCTACTGGCTAGTGGTCGTGCTATGTCGTGAATTGGTAGAAGTTTGAATTTATGGGTTGGCTATTGGATCAGCTCCCATTGGCTTAATGGCCTAGGAACCAGCTCACTGGCTTTGTAACCAGAAAGTCCTGGGTTCGAACTCCACAATGTGGATGCGTACTGATAAAGAGTCACAAGCTAGGTTGACGAAACAACTAACTGTCCAGTACTGTCTGCAGGTTATCCAATGGTTCTCTATCCAATGTCAGTTCATGCTGAAATACTGTAAATGATTGAAGTTCGCGACTCATTCTGTCTTTCAGAAAATAGTCCTTTGTAGATGATTTCAATATGCCAAAAATATTCACTCAAACATCTATAAAACACAAAATAATCGAGAAGAGAATATCCTTTTCTATAAATTTCTCTTCCGGCTCTACAGTTATATATGCATGTTTATATACTTAGAATATTCTAGATTAGTAGCCGATAACAATATTAGTGTTTTTTAAATAATATCGATTTGTAAAGTAAGATCACAATGGAATTACCACAGTTCATTAAAGAGGCTTAAATAATAATAATTATTATTATTATAATAGCAATTAGAATATCAACTAAAATTAGGAAAATTCCACAAAAATTCATGATCATTCAAACACAGATGGCTAAGGTAATGATAATGTTTGAACTAACAACTTTTCAGTGCCTGGATGACGTTTCGACGGAAATTTATTGTTCACAATCATAGCATTAATTATAATCACACGACTTCAAAACTTTAGTTTTATAGTTTTCTTTGTCCTCTCCTATTTGTCGTCGTTGGGGTAGTAGAATTTTCCAGATATCTGGGTGGACAGGTGTTGAATCATTCCTATTACATGTATTTGCAGTTGATTCTGGAGAATTCTACTACCCCAACGACGACAAATAGGAGAAAACAAAGAAAACTATAAAACTCAAGTTGTGAAGTCGTGTGATTACAATTGATATGATTATGAACAATAAATTTTCTTCAAAACGTCATCCAGTAAATACTACTGTTTCACTGTGTATGATATATCTAATAAACAAACTAATATGGAATTACTTACTACCACAGTGCCCAAGTTTTACACATATATTAATTCTTTTGGATGCATAAATTAGGCTTGTTAATATGGATCCCAACAGCCTCAGCAATATTTAGTAGTCGAACTCTTAAGGCAAAATTAGGATTCGTAGGTATACGGTAAATGACCCTGAAAGCATGGTTAACGTCAATCTTGTGTTTTGTCTCCACAAGATGAGACAAAATAGCGCTGCGAATAGATTTTGTTTGTTCTTTGCTTAACCAATATTAAGGATGATGTTCGGAAATTTGACGGGAAACACGCCTAGTTGTACGGCTCATGTAACTGGCTCACTCTACAGGAGCAGTTAAAGTGGTAGATACACATGGAAGACGCAAAATTAGTCAGTTTGTCTTTTACTCCCAAACGCAAAAGAGGAGTGGTTTTGAAGATACAGCGTAATTCAGCAGCAGGGAATGCTCTTTTTACCGCATTTCTAAGGCACTGTGTTAGTATCTCGCTGACGTTTTCCCCAAGGAACTGCATCTGTAAGAATAAGTCATTTTTTGGAACTGTTGGTAACTTTGGCTGCTTTGGTTTCAGATTCACATTCTTATCAATAAACTTTTCTGGGTAACCATTTTCACTTAGCAACCGTTTAATATTATTAAGTTCATCATCAGGCCATTCATCTGAGCAAATTGCTCTTGCTCTGTGAACCAAGCATTTTATCAGATTGCGTTTGTATTTCAAGGGCACGAAGCTGAGAAAATGAGTATACTGACCAGTTAGTTGATGTTGGTTTTCTATATACACTTCTTCTTATTGTGCCATCTTCTTTTCTGGTCATAAAGACGTCTAAAAATGGAATACTAGAGTTTTTTTCTTTCTCAATAGTAAAATTTATTGCAAGATGAACCTCATTAAATTTATCCAGGGTGTTCTTCGCTTCCTTCTCGTTTTTCATAATCAAAAAAGTATCATCCATGTACCGACAATAAAGTTCGAGTTCATTAATAACATCCTTCAAAGGTCCATTTTCTAGTTTCACAGGGAAAATGTCACACACATCGATTTGTCTATATAGTTCCTTATTAAATAAAAAATGGACATTCATTGTACATTTCATGAGAAGCTCTTTCATAAAAGATATAGGAATGCCAACATTGATGTTTCGTCTTTTGAGTCCTTCGCATACAAAGTTCACTGTTTCCATAAGTGGTACAATGGTACATAAGGAAGATACGTCAAATGATATCATGAATTTATTGTCAACAATTAAATCTTTTACCCTTTCAACAAATCCAAAAGTATCCTTTACATCAATGTCTTTCACCAACTCGGTATGAAGAAGCTGTAAGAGTTCGACTTACCATTTGGCTACAGGATGGTATGGTGAATTTAACATATCTAATACTGGTCATCGAAGCAGTACACCATTTTTGTGCACTTTAGGCGAGCCATATAGTCTTGGTGTGAACGTTCTAGTGGGTTTAAGTGATGTGTACTGACTCTGTAAGATGAAGCCTTGTTGTTGTTGTTGTTTCAGTTTTTTCAATGTTTCCGCTAACTGTTTCTCGATCTTTTCAATCGGATCCAGAGAAGAAGAGGTGATTTTTTGGAATTTTAGATTATCATTAAGAATAGTAATCATCTTCTCGAAGTAATCCGCTTTGTTCATGATAAACATATACATAATTTCAGGATTTGTCGTGAATTGGCAGAAATCCCGAAACCAATCAAATCCTTACAAACCATCACTTGAATACCAATGAGATGCTCACTGG